AGAGGAGGAGAAGGAGGAGGAGGGGGAGGATGAGGAGGAAGAGAAGGAGGAGGAAGAGGAGGAGGGAGAGGAAACTACTGTAGCGCTTTCCTTGATTTCCTTGTGCTCTGACGTCACTTCCTGTCTGTGCTTCCAGAACCGGAAACCGTGTGAATGCTGCGCCCCTCCCCGTGACGTCACTGTCCGGTGGTGCAGCCCCGCCCTCCGACGTCATGTGGTCCGTGTGCGAACGTCATGTAGACGTGTGTGGGACGGAGGCCGCGTGTGGGGAACGTCGTCATGGAAAACGTCACGTGTGGAAGCTGTCATCACGGTGTGGGAAACGTCACCACGTGGACACGTCCTGGCGGGGAGCGTCGTGTGCAGGGAGCGTCACGTGTGCAGAGCGCCGTGCGTGGGAAACGCATTAAATGGGAAGTTTTCGGTTTTCGTGGAATCCGAGTGTCGAGTGTGATTTTTAGAAAATAAGTTATTTATTGTTTCTATTCCGTGTGTGTTCCCTGCGTGTGTGCGAGTGCACGCGTGTCCTGCGGTGCCCACGCAGGTCAGAAGAGGCCGTGCGATCCCCTGGAACTCGGGTCACGGACAGTCCATAGCCGCCACGTGGGTGCTGGGACTCGAACCCGGGTCCTCTGCCAGGGCAGCCAGTGCTGTTCACCGCTGAGCCGAGCTCCGGCCCCGAGCCTGTGATGTTGCTGTGAATTAGGAGGGGATTTTGCCCACAGGAAGTTCATTCCCTCCCTGCTCATTAACTGTGGGAAACGCCCACTCACTGCGAAGAAATCCCCACCCAATGTGACAATGCCCGCCCAAGTAGTACTGTGCGCAGCACCCTTCCCCAGGTGTCTCCCTCTGCTCTAGGTGTAGATGCGATGCGACCAGCTGTTTCAAAGACTAAGGTGAAGAAATAATTTAGGAAGTCTGTGGTGTCCACGGGCTCATGCACAGGACGTGCACCCGCAGACACACGCACGCACACGCATGAAAACACAGACCAGGTGACAGGTTAGTCTTGCAGTCCGTGCCTTTTCACATGAAAATTCAACAGACAACCAGACAACGGGGCTCTCGGCTGCACAAAGGCGATGGGGACCCGAGAGCAGCTGCGCGAATGGCAGAATAAAAGGCTCGAGCCCAGAGCACCGAGGTCGGTGATATTTACAGCAGCGGGTGGGCCATTGTCTGTAGAGAAGAAAGACGTCACACAAAGCGCAGGCAAACAGCGGTATCAGGAACCGTGCAGCGTAAACTGCCAGCACTTAGCTTTGAAAAGAAAAACCCAAAATGCAAAAAAAAAAATGCAAAATAAACAAAAATGCACCATAAACAAAAATAGTTCTTAAATAGCGACGTTTGTGGATTCTGAGGTTGGGAAATGCGTTTGCAAAATTATTTTATTTGGGGGCTGGAGAGATGGCTCAGCGGTTAAGAACACTGTCTGTTCTTGCAGAAGAGCCGGGTTCGAATCCCAGCACCCACATGGCAGCCAACAACTGTCCTTAGCTCCAGCCCCAGGGGATCCGACGGCCTCGTCTGTCCTCCGCGGGCATTGCTCACATACACGCAGGCAACACACGCAAACACATAAAATAAAAATAGTAAAAAACCATTTAAAATTATTTTATTTATGCTTCTTTTGTGTGTGTCTGTGCACAACCTGCGTGTGTGTAAATGCGTCCTGGCGCTGCATGTGCTTAGAATGTAACACGCGCACACGTGAGGAGGGTAACCGGCCTCTGCTCTTGCTGGAAACACCGCAAACAATAGGGAAAAGCGTGGGACACAGACACGCTTGTCGGGCCCGGGTTAGAGACACGGGGAGGCCTGGGCGCCAGAACCAGGGTCTGCAGGTGGAGGATGGCTCCGAATTTGCAATGTCTGGAGTGTTCTGTGGAGGGCTAGAAGAGCAGCCCAGAGCAGTGGGTTAGACAATCAGCCCAGAGCACTGGCTTAGGCCAGCACCCTAGACCACTGGGTTAGACCATCAGCCTAGACCAGTGGTCTAGACAATCAGAATAGAGCACTGTGTTAGGCCATCAGACTAGAGCAGTGGGCTAGACCATCAACCTAGAGCAGTGGGTTAGACTTTCAGACTAGAGCAGTGGGCTAGACCATCAGCCTGGACCAGTAGGTTAGAGCAGCAGCCGACAGCACTGGGTTAGGCCATCAGACTAGAGCAGAGGGCTAGGCTGTCTGCTCCCAGCACTGAATTAGACCATCAGCCTGCAGCAGTGAGTTAGACCATTGGCCCAGTGCAGTGGGCTAGACCACATAAGGTGAGCCAGTGGGTTAGGCCATCAGACTATGAGCCCAGGTTAGACCATATAAAGCCTTCCTATAAGGCAGGCTGCACCATTTAGGCCGAAGGCTTTAGAGTTTACACACACACGACCTCCTTCCTCAGAACTCCCGCCCTGATTCAGTGCTGCACGCCTGTGCGTGGGCACCGATGCGGGAACCTAGGACTTTGGTAGGCACCCAGCTGCTCAGTGGTCGCATCCGCTCGGTGGGATCACGGATGTCATCCTTGTCCCACCTCCACCTTCATGCACGCGGGTGATTGACAGGAGCGGAAATCAAGTTCAGACCAGTTTGGTGAGTCCCACGTCCCTGTAAATGTAGAATCCATGTTTACAGCTGGTTTCTTCTGTGTTCATGAAAACACGGACTGAGGGTGTGGGCTGCTGGGTATACATCAGGAGTACTGAGTCATCACTCATGTCATCAGGAGTACTGAGTCATCACTCATGGAGATCAGGAGTACTGAGTCATCACTCATGGCAATCAGGAGTACTTAGTCATCACTCCTACAAATCAGGAGTACTGAGCCATTGATCAGAGGGATCACACTGTTCCCATGATGGAATAAGCACCTTGACAGTGGTCTGGAGAGATGGCTCCGGGTGAAGAGCACTGAGTGCTTGGGCAGAGGACCCAGTTTCAGCCCCCAGCACCCACATGGCAGTGCACAACCTCTGGAAACTCCAGCTTCAGGGGATCCGACGCCCTCTTCTGCCATCACGCGGGCTTTTTACATGCAGGACGCAGTTGCACACGTGCGGGCCATGCATGCATACACATAAATGAGCGTGGTTCCCGATCTCAGTCCGTCACCAAGGGGAAGTCGAGGCAGGTAACGGGGCTGCTCGCCAGTGCCCCTAGCTTAGTACTCCGCAGCCTGGGTAGATTTGGAATCCACTTGAGAGGACTTCTAGTTTAGTGCTCCCAGTTTAGCGCTCTGAGGTTAGTGCTCCATATTTAGTGTTCTGTGTTTAGTGCTCCGTGCTTAGTCCTCCCAGTTTAGTGTTCTGGGTTTAGCACACATGCATTATATATATATATATATAGTATATACTAACGTGCACACACAGCGATGTACGCACGTGAACATGCACTCAGATTCGCACAAACACGTACACCGTACACATGAGCATGTACGCAGGCACACATGACCTTGTACATGCACATTCATGAACAAATACACGCATACGCGCTTGAACCTGCACACACGGATACACACATTGATGT